CTTGCACTGGTATATGTACTGGAACTGGTGGTATATGTTACACATGCTCACAGAGTATGTACCGGCCTCTCAGATCCTCGGGCACAAGCCTGCTTGTAGTTACAAAGTGCAGAAGGAAAACCTTTGGAGGGGCAGCCTTTAGTTACACGCTCCGAGCTGCTGGAACAACCTGCCGGAGGATCTGAGAGCAGACTCAAACTCAAAACCTTCCTCTTCAGCCTGGCTTTTTATAAAAAATGGTTTCTAGTTTCTAGTTTTTGTAATTCTTTACTAATTTATTTTATATTATTTCCTTTTGTAAATTTTTAATTATTTTAAATATACTTTTCTTTCTTGCATTTGTTTTTAGGGTAGCTTTTATTAAATACTGTCATTTTACCTGTATTTAATTAATTAATAAGTCATTTTATCATTGCATTGTAAATTTTAAATCTACCTTATTTAATATTTACTCCATTCTGTCTTATTATCGTAGTTTGTGAAGCACTTTGAACTGTACGAAATGTGCTTGATTGAATACTAAAAATAATATCAGTAATATTGGCATTGGGGGTCTTATAGTTAGGGCTGGATCAGGTGAGTCCTGAACCATCCCTTAGTTATGCTGCTATAGGCCTAGACAATGGGGGGATTTCCCATGGTGCACTGAGCTCCTCTCTTCCTCTCTCTTTCTGCACTCATTCATGTTCCATTAATGCATGTTACTAACTTCACTTCTTCCCCGGAGTTCTTGTGCTTTCTCGTCTCGCAGGTTCTTATTGATCCTGGTGGAGCCTCAGTATTACTGATTGTTGTGTGACAGGAGGGGTCTGATTTTTGCAATGTTTCGTAAGTGAACAAAGGCAGTCCTTTTCACAAGCTCATGCCCGCATTTAATGTCTTTCTAAAATTTAACCGGTCTGAACAGATTGAAGCAGCCAATCAGCACCGACCTGCTCACCTGTACTCCCCCTGCTTCTATCGTCACTGCTCTCACACTCACATCTGCTTCTCTACCTGGAAACATTCACACAGGTGAGCACAACCCGCTTTCACACCTTCATCAGTCAGACTCTTCTTTTATAAGGGCTGTCATTTATTAATGTGCCAACATTTGTTTTGATGAATGAAAATCAATTTCAGTTTCTCAGGTCTTGTTATGTTCAGATATTCAGTTTACTGTGACAGAGACACACACACTGCAGAATCTGGAAACGCAGAACAACAGACGGCTTTCATTGATAAATGACTGTTTATCCAGTTTTGTCCATTTCCATTGGACAAAATAGAAATGTCTATTTCAGGGCTCCTGAAGGAACCGCAGAAGTAAAAGCATGTTGAAAATAACAGTTGATGTTGGTCTTTAGTCAGAGCTCCTGTGAAGACACTTCATCTTTTAATTTGCTGCAATATTCTCGACTGCTGTCACTGTCTCACTGTCTGAGAATAAACTCTCATGTAAATGCGTCCAGGGTCTGTCTCCTACCTCCGGCAAGGCTGAAGTCATCATGGCAGACTCCTGCAGAAGTGTGGACGATGCCAGGGTCGCGTTTCAGTCCTGTAAAAGTCCAGATGCAAAAGAGCGAGTTCAGTTCTACGACAGCTGGGCAGAAAACTATGAAAAGGTCCGTTTTTAAGTTTCTATTCAGGTTTGATGTTGGTTAATCTTTATCCATCTGTGCAGCTCTGTGGAGCCTTTTAGCCTCTTTCAGCTCCTGTCTGGTTCAGAGGGGAATATTGTACTTTGTGCTTTTCTTAACTTTGGTATTTTAGATTTGCTCTACCAAGACGGCCAGATTACGAAACAGTCAGTTTAATACTGATGCCTCCATATGAGGCCATTAACAGTGCTGCAGGTACAGTATCGGGTTTGACAAACTAACACATTTTCTAAAACAGGATCACTCTCTGATGAGCTACAGAGCACCAGACCTGGCAGTAAACCACCTGTCTGACCACTTCACTGGTAATCCTGAACAAGCTCTGGTTCTGGACGTCGCCTGTGGGTCTGGATGGGTTGCTAAAGAGGTGAGAATGTCCAATATGTACAATATGTACAATATGTCAGCTGACATTAGGGGGGACGAAGTTTGACAATATGGTGAAGCAGTGTGGGATCATGGGAGTTGTTCAGGAGGTTTCTACCGGGAGCCCAATGATCCACAGAGGTCTCCTCCTCTCCAACACAAACAGACCCGCTGATTAAAACCACTAAACACACTGAATAAAGCAGTTCCACCTTAAACACACTGAATAAAGCAGTTCCACCTTAACAATCACTGCTTCTCCCACGCTGTTGGACAGACAAAGGACGTCCCGGAGGGGCTGCGAGCCGAGCTGCTGCTAACGTTAGCTCAGCTTGTTTCTCTGATAACTTAAGATCCAGACGTCCGATGACTAAAATCCTTCATCCGGTTCAAATCTAGAGTTAAAAAGCACCAAGATCTAAACAGTGGATGGTAACAATGTGGCTTCACACTGGATCAACAGTCAATGTGTGACAGCTTCTGGCAGACAACCACAAAACAGCAAATGTTTAACATCCACCACGATTAGACCAGTTTTAAAATCCTCTGTAATTCATTCAGTGTATAAGGTTTACTGTAGTGTGCTGACTGTAGAGGAAATGATTCAGAATATTATGGATCAGTGAAATAAAGTCTGATTCATCCTGTGATTCAGTGTCACTGTTGGTTTCTTCTCCTTGTGTGTACAGATGCTTGAACTGGGCTTCAGGCACTTTGTGGGAGTGGACGGCAGTAAAAGCATGCTGGAACAAGCTGCTAAGACCGGCCTCTATCAGGACCTCAGACTGGCCTTACTGGGAACACAACCACTGCCTGCACAGACTGGTACTCTACACTCACACTCTGAATTAATATGATTTGAAGGGGTGAGTTGTATAAGCCCCCATACAGTTGTCATGAATGGGAAAATTAGCTGTAGGGATCCAAAAGGCTGTAAACATGTTGATTTGTTAATATGATTCCTGGAAACTGAATCTGGCTCTTCTTCCTCCTCTTCTCCTGGTCTCAGATACATTTGATGTGGTGATCATCGTTGGCGCTCTGGATGCTGGTTTTGTTCCGGTCGGTGTTGTCAGGGAGCTCTGCCACGCCGCCAAACCAGGTAAGCAGCTAACCACTGTTAGCTCTGCAAGGACTGAAAGAGACACCAAACACAGTCTGTGTCTCTTTGTGGTTGTTTTCCATTATTTTTGTCATTTTTAGTTCTTTAGTTGCTTTGAGTGTCTTTGAAGTCATTTTCCATGTTTTTAGTGGTTTTGAATTTTTCTCTGGTCCTTTTGATTGGTTTTACAGAGGATCTGGTCCAGGGGGTCTGGGCCTGTACTCAGTAGTTCAGTAATCCATCCATGATACTAACAAGCCACCTACCTGTCATCTTCTGGCTCCAGTAGGGGGGGCACCAGGGTGACCAGTCAGACTCCACCAATCTTTTAGCTCTTGGAGCCCTTAGAAGTTGTCAGAGTTGGGATTTGTGTTGTTCTGTTCCTCTGTGACACCCTGATCTCCTGCTGCCTCTAGTGTCTTACTAACTGTAACTGAATAAACTGCCTGTTGTCTGCAGGAGGTTTGGTCTGCATGGCGAGAGGTGAACACTCAGGAACACCAGCAAACCAATACAAGAAGGATCTGGAGAGAGAGCTGCAGCTGATGGAGGAGGAGGGACTGTGGAGTCCAGTAGGAATCAAACAGACAGACAGATACATGGAGGACCCACATCTGAGTGCAGAGAGAGCCAAAGACATGCAGGAGGAGCGATACATCAGAGGGAGTGTTTATCTGTACAAGAGATCCATCCATTAAGATCAATTATTAATCATATTCAGTACATAACAAAAGAGAAAATCCTAAATATTCAGTTACAAATAAAGTCTGTCATACATTCTGTAAATTCATTGTGTGTGTAAACGCCAGCGGTAGAGAGAACAGACCTTTACTTTTTAATTCTTCCTTTTACCTGGTTTGCTGCTCAAAGCTTCTCCAAAATGATCATTTGCTGCTTTTCTTTGTCTCTGATCTGATTGTAAGCTGAATATTTTGGGGATCTTGAACTGTCAAATAAAACAAGTGATTTGAATAAGTCATTTAAAAATGTATTTTATTGATTTCTTTGACTGGGATGATACATGTAGAGTAGGAACTATTACATTTTAATGAACAAACCCATGCCCATGAGAGAGCAGATTGGATATCTCTGTGGTTTTTATTAATGTCTGGGATTCCCCTTGAAATCAATGAAAGGGGGGTCTTTACACTGTTCATTATCTGCCAACCTGTCTTTAATGCTCCAAACCAAGGTTAACTCCTCATGTAAATGTAAACACGACCACTCAATGCTCAAGAAATCCTTAGCACATGGGTTCAGATTCACTTTAATGTCAAATAACCAATTACACTGATTATTATATTTCTGATTATAATAGGGAGTCAGGGTAAAAGACGAATGAATGATCTTTATTGTCATTATACTCAAATATTGAGATGTAGCCTACCGTTTATATATTTTAAGTTCTCTTACACCTCCTAAAATCAAGGCCACACGACCCCCCTGTGAAGCTCTGGTGACCCCTAATGGCAGTTCTAACCTTCAGATCGGTTCCTCCCATTTTTTAAAATTATTTGTGGTTGTATTGCACATTCATTTGTTGTTTGTGTTGTTAGTTAGTATGTGTGTGTTTGTGTGTCTGATTAGTAGTTGAATACATTTTTGTTCATGATGAACTTGATAATGTGGATTGTGTGTGTGAAATATACGGTCACTGTACACGAGTCAGTGAGACTAAATCAATGAATTGGCTATCAGTCTTCTCTTTTTGAAATGTAATTTGAACAGTGATTTCTTCCACTGAACAGAAGTGGGTGTACGCCTGCCCCTCCCTCTCACCAAAACACTCAGTTCATACCTGTAAGCCATAAACCCCCTACAGCACTGACAAATGCCTTTTTCAAAGGTTAACGGACCTGTCTGAGCAGAATAAACCTGTCAGTCAGCACCGACCTGCTCACCTGTATTCCCCCTGATTCTATCGTCACTGCTCTCACACTCACATCTGCTTCTCTACCTGGAAACATTCACACAGGTGAGCACAAACCGCTTTCACTCCTTCATCAGTCAGACTCTACTTTTATAAGGGCTGTCATTTATTAATGTGCCAACATTTGTTTTGATGAATGAAAATCAATTTCAGTTTCTCAGGTCTTGTTATGTTCAGATATTCAGTTTACTGTGACAGAGACACACACACACACACTGCAGAATCTGGAAACGCAGAACAACAGACGGCTTTCATTGATAAATGACTGTTTATCCAGTCTGAAACCACATGTTTACCATCCACTGTTTAGATCTTGGAGCTTTTTAACTCTTGATTTTGAACCGGATGAAGGATTTTAGTCATCGGACGTCTGGATTTAAAGTTATTAGAGAAACAAGCTGAGCTAACGTTAGCAGCAGCTCGGCTCACAGCCCCTCAGTGACGTCCTTTATCTGCCCAATAGTTGAGCTGTATGGCACAGAGGAAGAAGATAAATCAGGCTGTGATACACACATAATACTTGTTAGCAGATACATTCTCGGTTGGGTTGGTCTCCACATGGGTGACATTTGTTGACCAGAGGACAAACAGAAGATGTAAATTGTCTCCCCTTCGGCAGGTTTGTAGTTGTCTCCTCATCATGTCAGTCTGCAGCAGAACTGTGGAGGGAGTGAAGTCCGTCATTCTGTCCTGCAAAGGCTTCGATTCACAGCAGACGGCAAAGTTCTACGACAGCTGGGCACAGACGTACGAACAGGTCAGTAGAGACAAACTCATCCTCCTTAGAGGAAACACCACAAAACATCTGTCTGTTGAGTATCAAACACAAATTCCCTGTCGGCTTTAAAGGAGCCACTGAAATCAGGTCAGTTTGGATTCACCCTGGTTCTGTATCAATTTATCTCTCAGAATAACACACTGTGAATCTGGATATGTTTCTGAAAAATGTCAGTACACACGATGTTTGAAACTGAATCTGCTCGGTTATCGATATCTAAAAGTGTCATCTGCATATAATAACACTTTGTTCTTCCTCCCTCGTACCCAGGTTCAGCACTAAGAACAACAGCCACTGATTAAATAGTAATTAAACCTTTAAGCAGCATGCAGTGATGCATGGGACATCCCAGTGTTCAGTACATGTATTGAATTCAACTCTTATTCACACTGACATTCCTAAAAGTGATAATTTTAAGAATTTGTGCACTTTACATCAACAGGATGTTAAGATCATTAACTACAGAGCATCAGAGCTGGGGGTAGATTTCCTGAATTCGCACTTCTCTGGGAATCGTGAAGAGGTTCAGGTTCTGGACGTTGCTTGTGGATCTGGGATGGTTGCCAAACTGGTGAGCCAAAAACTTCCATTTGAAGTCGAAACTCAACTACAAAGACACAACAACAAGCAAACAATCCACATCAGTACTTGTTCACTGTTCACTGGGAACTCCCAGTCCAGCAGAGTCAGCTACTAGGACCGCTACAGCTGCTTAACAAAGGGGACAGAACGGAAATTGAAGCCCCTCCCCAACTGACTGTTTTTACAGTAAACATGTAAATATGAGGAAGAAAACAGCTCTCTGCTTCCTGGTTCATGTGGACTTTAAAAATGTCACTGTTGGTTTCTTCTCCTTGTGTGTATAGATGGTTGAACTGGGCTTCAGGCACTTTGTGGGAGTGGACGGCAGTAAAGGCATGCTGGAACAGGCTGCTAAGACCGGCCTCTATCAGGACCTCAGACTGGCTTTACTGGGAACACAACCACTGCCTGCACAGACTGGTACTCTACACTCACACTCACACACTGCTAATGACTAAATATGGTGATTTTTTGAATTTTTCCCAAAACTTTCTGTTCCTTAGGACTGTCTGATCTTTAATTACAGAGCTCCAGCAGCTCTTCAAAATCCTTCTGTCTGAACATAAAGTTCTTCCACAGTTCTCACTAACTAACTGGTTTACACTAGTGATTCACTAAACCAGGCTGCACCCATAGACTGTCAAATTAAAACTGTGGACTCTGTGACAACCCCCAGAGGTCTGTGAAGAGCTGTTGTGAAGTTCAGTTCATTAGAGGAACAGGTATTGTTAGTTCAGTGGTGGATTCATTTGCAGCCACAGAGGTTGCTGATTGGTCAGAACTAGTTTGTGAGCTGCAATCTGTTTTAATTTAGTGCAGATAAAACTAAACTTAGTAAACACTGACGTTAGCACGAGGCTGTTTGAAGCCTTTCTTCTGTTCTTTTTGGTCTTTATTTTTTTCCTGAGAAACATCCCATATTGTTAGTCTTAGTCGAGGTATAATGAGGGTTAAAACCACAGAGCAGTGTCACATCTGATCCTAGTAAAACAACAAAAACTATCTATATCAGTTAAAAGTATGATTCCTGGAAACTGAATCTGGCTCTTCTTCCTCCTCTTCTCCTGGTCTCAGATACATTTGATGTGGTGATCATCGTTGGCGCTCTGGATGCTGGTTTTGTTCCGGTCGGTGTTGTCAGGGAGCTCTGCCACGCCGCCAAACCAGGTAAGCAGCTAACCACTGTTAGCTCTGCAAGGACTGAAAGAGACACCAAACACAGTCTGTGGGCCCTATCTTGCCGATCTGAAACGCAAGTATAAAACGCAAAACGCAAGTAGCTTTGTTGCTATTATGCCGGCGGGATAAATGACTCTTGCGCCCGGCGCAAATCTAAAATGGGTTGGTCTGAAGTAGCTACATTAGTCATAGGTGTGGTTTGGGCGTAACGTGCAATAAACCAGTCAGAGCGTCATCTCACATTCCCTTTAAAAGCAGGCACACTTGCTCCATGGCGGATTGCTATTATAACGGCGGATTGGCCAGGCGCACGCCAGGAGCGGTTCACAGCCGAGGAGACCGACGTTCTCGTCCGGGCCGTAAAAGACCGAGAAGCGACATTATTGACATGAAATAAATGTAACACAGCCATACAATAAATAAAAACAATGTAACGCAGCTTCCGCAGGAAGAAGACCCTGGCCTCGGGAGTAGTGCGCACGGGCCGAGCAGTGCGCAAGGGCCAGCTGAGGAGGGAGCAGCGCAAACACCAAGGTGCAGAGGATCCAGACCCACTACACGCCGGAGGACCACCCGTTCCTGCAGCAAACCGGGTCTGACATGCTGTCCGGGATGTGGCAAAGTATTAATGCCGTCCTGACCGGGTGGCGATGTTGCTGCTGCATCCCCTCAAGTCTGCGCCCTTAAAATAGCATCTGAATAAGCGCCACTGACTTTAGACTAGGTTTTTCCTGGTCTGTTGCGGAATTGTTTTCTGAAACAGCAAAATAGCACCAGGGAACGTTTGCGCCGGAACATGCCTCCTCTTTTCGCTGAACCGCCCCCCGGAGCGCAAGTTCATTCCCTAATTTAAGGACGTGTGTCGGTGGAGGGAAAATTCCAATGAGCGTCGAGTGCAAAATAGGAATTATACAAGCGCCAGTGTACAAAGTCAATTGCGCTGAGTGCAAGATAGAGCCCTGTGTCTCTTTGTGGTTATTTTCCATTATTTTTGTCATTTTTAGTTCTTTAGTTGCTTTGAGTGTCTTTGAAGTCATTTTCCATGTTTTTAGTGGTTTTGAATCTTTCTCTGGTCCTTTTGATTGGTTTTACAGAGGATCTGGTCCAGGGGCTCTGGGCCTGTACTCAGTAGTTCAGTAATCCATCCATAATACTAACAAGCCACCTACCTGTCATCTTCTGGCTCAAGTAGGGGGGGGGCACCAGGGTGACCAGTCAGACTCCACCAATCTTTTAGCTCTTGGAGCCCTTAGAGGTTGTCAGAGTTGGGATTTGTGTTGTTCTGTTCCTCTGTGACACCCTGATCTCCTGCTGCCTCCAGTGTCTTACTAACTGTAACTGAATAAACTGCCTGTTGTCTGCAGGAGGTTTGGTCTGCATGGCGAGAGGTGAACACTCAGGAACACCAGCAAACCAATACAAGAAGGATCTGGAGAGAGAGCTGCAGCTGATGGAGGAGGAGGGACTGTGGAGTCCAGTAGGAATCAAACAGACAGACAGATACATGGAGGACCCACATCTGAGTGCAGAGAGAGCCAAAGACATGCAGGAGGAGCGATACATCAGAGGGAGTGTTTATCTGTACAAGAGATCCATCCATTAAGCTCAATTATTAATCATATTCAGTACATAACAGAAGAGAAAATCCTAAATATTCAGTTACAAATAAAGTCTGTCATACATTCTGTAAATTCATTGTGTGTGTAAACACCAGCCATCTTTTACCTGGTTTGCTGCTCAAAGCTTCTCCAATATGATCATTTGCTGCTTTTCTTCGTCTCTGATCTGATTGTAAACTGAATATTTTGGGGCTCAGGCAGTCTGTCAAAGTTTCACTCATGGGAGCCACTGTGTGAGTTTGAGTTCAGTTTTATTATGTAAGCTTCCTTTTAGTTTGAATGCTGAGCTATCTTCCAAGTTACATGGGTTTGCTGACTTCTTGGTTTAAGTTACAGCCGTACAGTAGTTTCTGTTCCCTGTAGTTTTTATTTTAGATTAAGAGTCATCTGTTTCTTTGTACTTTATTCACTTAACTCCAATTAAGCATTTTATTACCTTCTCCTGAGTCTGAGTCTGTATTTGGGTTCTACAGCCAGGATCAGGATAACAGAAATCAATGAATGCTGGACTTTCACATCAGCCCAAGAATACTCTGGAAAAAAAGAGGCTAATAATAGACCTGTCTTTATCCAACACGTCTCTCAACATCACCCTCATCTGTCTGTCAGACCACAGAGCTTGGCTTTATAAAGCAGACATTACCAGAACATTCGGTCCTCTTGCACTTTGTCAGGGTTTGCTGGTGTGACTTACCTTTGGCTGCAGAAGCAGTCCCAAGATCTTTGACTCTCTTCAGAAGCCCTCTGTTGGATCCTGACCAACAGCTACAGACTCTCTTACATACTCCATCTTCAACCATTCCATTCTCACCTCCTTGCCTTGGGCTTATTACTCACACAAGAGCTTTCTTGAGAGAAAATTGAGCTTGAAGACCCTGGACTCAATTTCCAAACCAGATGGTTTGTTAGACCCATGGTAAATGGTAAATGGACTGTATTTTTATAGCTCCTTTCTAGTCTTCCAACTACGGAGCCCCTAAAGGGACATGGGAGAAAAAAAAAAAAAATGAAACATTTCTCGTGCTCACAAGAAAGTATCTCGTGAGCACAAGATCCGTATCACTAGAGACAGGCGCAGCCTTAAGCCAACAACAATAAAAGTCCACATTTGTACAACCAACAACCGACACTTGATTGACAGCCTGGTGAAAGCAACTGCATGAGCGGGTGCTAATCAACACATGGCTCATTTGAATATTAAAATTAGCCCTGTGTCTGGCTTAAGGCTGCGCCTGTATCTTGTGCTCACACGATACTTTCTCGTGAGCACGAGATACGTTTCATTTTTTACATTTTTCCCCATGTCCCTTTAGGGGCTCCGTATCCGACCACTCAAAGTGCTTTTACACTACAGCCAATGAAATTCAATAGAATAAAAAGTCCTGCTCATATTGGAGACCTTAAAGAGACTGCACAGTGCAGCCGTTAACAATCTGACTGTGTTACAGTAGCTTTTCAGGAGTTCTGATGTTTTACTTTTAAACAACCATCAACATGCATAAATATGAACAACGTGACAGCTCTTCAACAGCTCTTCAAACGTGAAGCCAAACCCTGAAAGTCCAACAGCAGTGGGACACACTGGGAAACACAAAGAAAAGGCTGGAAAGCTTCACACATGGACAAACATTGAAACAAGGGAACACAAAGACAAAACACACTAGTGAGGGAAAGATAACTAGACATAGGTGAAACTAATCAGGGCCGGGCAGAGAAAAGAGACAAAGGCAGGAAGTGAAGTTACTCAAGATACATAAGGAAGTCTTTCAACATAAAACTGGAATTAATTTAACTAAAATCCAAACCATAACACCCTGGCTGTTGTATGTGTATGGGAAAAAGAAGCCCCATGTTCTACTGTATGCAGAGGATTTATTATCATATGTTGTAACTGTAACTGTAACTGTAACTGTCTGTAAGTCAGATTTCCCCTCAGGGACATTAAAGGTAACTTTCAGAAGACTTAGCCTGTCTTGAACAGTGTTATTGCGACGTGCTATAACCAGTGTTGGGCAGTAATCATTACTAGTAATATTATTACCTTTCCCAGTAACTAGTAGTGTAAGTAATTATTAAGAAATGTCAGTGTGGAGGTGGGTGTGGTTTGCACTCAGCTGCAGGAGAGAGAGGTGTGGGGAAGGCTTGTGAGAGCAGCACCAGGTGAGTTGAGTATCTCAGCTGCTACTCATTGGATAATCACTCTACCCTTTATGTTGCAGTAGTGGGCTGGACCTGGGGCCCCCCCCCCACACACACACACACACACACACACACACACACACACACACACACACACACACACACACACACACACACACACACACACACACACACACACACACACACACACACACAAGAGACAAGCGAAGGAAACCATGATGGACTATTGAAGTGAGCTAAGCTGTGTCAGTAGTGTGTGGGGCTGACAGTAGTAATAAAGTTGTCCTCCTTATTAATCTCTGTTGTGGTCCGTGTGCTGAGTGAACCTTCGGTAGTAGCAACGTGCTACAGTCAGTAATAATATTAAAGTTACCGCCCAATAAGACTAATAGGATACATTACTTTTGTTTTCTCCTCCTGATCTGAAAAACAATCCAATCACATCCCGTGGAGGAAACTTTGGAAAATGAGGTTCTGGAAATACTCCATTACTTTGATTTTAACAAACTAAACTGGATTTGAATCGTTGTCAGTCTCAGTTTTGGGGAAAAGGGACACAGTTACCAATGTTGTGTGGAGCAGCAGAAAAGTAATATAACCAGTAGTGTAACTAATTACTGTTGGCAGAGAGTAAGAAGTAAAGTAATAATATCAATGAGTAATGAGTAATAAATAAAACATTTTGAGTAACTAGGCTTACACTGGCGATAACACTGTTCAATATTGTGATGATGGTATAACTTTAATTAAATTAAACAAATATTGAAGTGTGCATAATAAACAGTTTCTGTCAGCCTGTCTTTACATTCAGAACTGGATTAGAAATGAATATTGTATTTTTTATTCTTTTATATTTTAATAACACTAGATGATGTTTCTACAGCTGCAACAGTAATGTTTATAACATTGTTTTGAACTTTTAACAAAGTCCCTATAAAACCGTCCTTTATCCTGTCCTGGACCTAAAGTCAGAGTCTGGAAACAAATAAAAGGAGCGAGAGCAGCAGCGGGTGGAGGACGAGGGACTCATGTGGACTCATGTGGACACTAAAGAGATGGACAAATACATGTTAGATGTTTATAATAATTATAAAGACGAGTATCTGTACAGGAAGTCACTTAAATAGTCACCGTGCTTTAAGTAAATGGTAAATGGACCTGTACTTGTTTAGCACCTTTCTAGTCTTCCAACCACTCAAAGCACGTTTACACTACGTGCCACATTCACCCTTTCACACACATTCACTCAGTGATGGCAAAGTCCATCGAACAGAATCTAACATTCATACACACTCACACACCGATGCATCAGGAGCAATTTGGGGTTCAGTATCTTGCTCAAGGATACTTTGACATGTGGCACCAGGAGCTGGGGATCGAACCCACAACAAGATTTTATTCTTTGTGGTATTAAAAAGTGGTGAAACCTGCAAAACCTTGTACAGAGCTGTTGTTTAACAATCCCTGATGAACTGGCTGCACTGTAGAGCAAAGGTTTTTTATCCAGAATCAGATAATGATAACCTCTGTTTAAACCAACTGCTGTGAAACACTTCCTGTGGGAGGAGGGGCTGCACTCTGCCCCTTATCTGTCAATCTGTGTTTAAGGCTCAAGTTGAACTCATCATGTGTCTGCTGCTGGTTATTTGCAGGGTGTTCTGTTCACACCTGGAATAAGTGTCTTAAGCTCCTGTTGACATCAGCGTACACACAACCGCTCAGTAATCAAGAAGTCCTGAGCACAACATCTGTTCAGATTCAATTTAATGTCAAAATATCAATTACAAACACTCATTATTATAAAAACACATACATCATTTAAATAGAGTCCAACAGTCTGAAGTCCTGCTGTGCTGGAAGACTTTGAGGCGGCGAGAAGGAAGACCAGAACCACCAAGTGGCCGATCAAACTGCCCTCATTTAAACACAAACTTTAACCTTACAGACTCATCAATCAGATACAGAATAAACCTCAGCTGCCTCTTTCAGGAGCCAGTAATCAGTTACTGATGAGCTACAGCAAGCTAGATCGTCCAAACCAAACAGTTAGCCATTAGCCATTCATTTACAGACACAGTGCTTCACATAATAACACGTATAACAGGCGTCCTGCTACAACTTATCAATTCTAAAACTTCAGCATTGTTCATAAACTCTGTTAACACACTGTTTGAATAAAGCTTTGCAGGTTGTATCATATAAATGTTTGTGACCACTGAAAAATAAGGAAAAAGAATAAAAAAGAGGAAGATGATCAGTGATCAGACTGATCCGTGAGCTGACTTCAGATCCATCATGTTATTGATCCTGTTGCAGACAGCGGCTGTCACTGCGCTCACAGCTCAGAACACATACTCAGTGTTGACATCAGCAGTGATGTCATCATAATCTTCATCCAACCCGTCACTTCCTCCGACACGCTGGGTCATCTCCATGGAGACGACCTCTTTGTTTCCTGTCTTCCTGCTGCAGCAGATGGACGCCATCAGAGCAGTACAGACGCAGTACGGACAGATGGCCACTAGATGGCAGAAGAGTCTGAGCCCAGGCAGAGAGGAGTCTGACGGAGGAGAACAAGAATCAGTTCATTAACGAGGAATTTGTCTCCGTAGTTTGGTGCACAACAATAAACTCTGTGAGAGAAAATAAGTTCTGCAAATGTCACAAATAAAACATTTAAAATAGAAATTTACAGTAAAAATAATGTTTGAATGAAAAGAGCTGTACAGTGTTTGAGGCAAAGAGGAAAATGTGCAAATGTTCACAGAATAAAGAAAATGTCCAATGTGACAGAAAACAGCCAAGATTGAATAAAGATAAGTGCACATACATACACACTGAGTCAGATATGGAGACTTTACGATAATGTAACGTGTGCTGTCAATGGGGCGGCTGCAGGTGGAAGGAACTGTTGTTGTAGCGTGAGGTTTTGGTCCTGATGGACCGCAGCCTCCTGCCAGAGGGAAGTGTTTCCAAAGGATTGTGTGCTTGTGCAGTCTCATGTATCACGTGTGTCACTCTATGACCATATTTAGTAACAGTACTTCTAGCAGAGTACTAATGCAACTTGACTCCTCGTGCAACTATGATACTGCGTGCTTATGAAATAATCTTTTTGAATTGTACTAAAACAAATGAAGGGAAGTGAGACAGTTGAAGTGAGACTGATGATTATTCTCCCCTCACAAGTTGTACCAAGATGTGAATGTGTGGTTAACACCCTGCTGAGTATAAACTGCAGCACACTGAAGAGCTTTGGGTCCCTGGTAACAGTGTGAGTGGAGCTCAGATACATTTGTATCTGTAATAAAAGCTATCAGAGTCTCACTTGAATTATTAATAACATAATTTGTCTGACAGTAAGTATGAAACTAATGTAGAACTGAATGTCATTCATCATGATATCATGTTCCTGATATTTCAGTAAGACACTGAATTCATTTTGTTTTCTTTCAGTTCAACTTATTCTGATATGGTTATGCTACGTTTGTATTTCTATATGTATGTATATGTGTCAACACAAACATCAGCTCACCTGCAGAAACAATCAGTCCATACAGCAACACAGCCACACCTGCAACAGGAGGCAGAGGTCACTGGAGGGCAGAGGTCAATACAGGGCAGAGGTCAGTAGACAGACAGACAGACAGACAGACAGACAGACAGAAGTCCATCAGCTCACCTGCAGCAGTCAGCACAGTCAGACCTACAAAAGGACAACAAGGTTTACTAGAGGTCAAAGGTCAGCAGGTTAACTTCAAATATAGAAACAGTGGAAAAGATCTAAATAAGCTTTCAACAGCATCTCATGGTCTTCATCAGTAAATGGAGTCGATGATTTTATACAGACTGTACAAAAGTGTGATTTTGGCGTGTCCCAGTGGTAGTAACAGAAATAACAGCAGCAACAGTTTGAATTCTCAGAGAATCAAAGTCAGGAAGCTTTAAAGTAACAGAAACATGACGAGAGGAAACATTTCCACCTGAAAGTGAACAACGATCCAAACTGTAACTGCACTTTATGAAGCAGAGTTTTAGTTCAGAGCGCTGAAGTCAGCGTCACTGCTCAGGTTGCACCAACACGCCTGGTCTTAACACTAGAACCACCACGGGGTCATTTTTACCCCCCTCACGTTTTCTAATGTAACTCTGATCTCTCAGTCTGTGACCTTTGCTGAAACAGCTTCATTAATCATCTGAGGGGTCATTTTTACCCTTCATAGAAACCACTGCACAATGCTGCACTTAACATTGGTTCACATAGAGCAGGTCTAGACCGTCCCCCTTATAACATTATTTACAGAGAGCCAACAGTTCCCTGATGACACCGATAATCGCTGCGAGGACTGAGCAACAACGGCCGTATAACAGCTACTAGAATGAGTGTGATTCTTCCATTAGTCCCAGTTAAAGTTGAATAATTGGCTTTATTTACCAAGGTCCATTCTAAAGACTGGTCTTAACAAAGACGGACTCAGCAGTTAGGACCAGGCTCAGTAAAGAGCAGTTGGTGCAACCCGCTCCAGGTGTAAAATATGTGCCTGTACCTGCAATGCATTTCCTCTGAGCAGATCGGACAGTATCGGGATCAGCGGAAGATCTGGCTGGAAAACAAACACAGATCAATCAGTTTATTGGAAATGGACATCAGAGATCAGACGGGTCCCAGGAGTCCTGAGGACATCACTGATTGGACAGGACTCCAACCAGTCACAGGTTGTAGTCCAGTACAGACCTGCTGACTGGATCAGACCCAGTCTGGTTCCAGTCTGTTCATATTATTATTATTATTATTATTATTATTATATTACAATATTACAATATATAATATATTATTTATTGTATGTATGTCTTTCTTGTGTAGTCAAGTATCTATTATACATATGCTATATATCATATCATATCTCATGTGTGTATATATATTTATATATATACACACATATACATATTATTATTATTATTATTATTATAAACTGTTATTAACAATAACACTACTCTTCATATCATCACTACTATAACCATCATCTTGCAACGTCTTTGCACCTTATCTACCTATTTATCTTTTTTATCTTTTCTACCTCAGTATTTTATTCTATTGTTGTATTTTATTCTATTTAAATGTACCTGGTTGCTATGACGATCCAATTTCCCTTTGGGGATTAATAGAGTCTATCTATCTATCTATCTTCTTCTTCTATTTTATCTATCTATCTATCTATCTATCTATCTATCTATCTATCTATCTATCTGTCTATCTATCTATCTGTCAGGTGAGTCTGACAGCTTTCATACCTGATTGATTCCTGCAGAGCCACACAACTCCAACCAGAACCAGAACCAGAACCAGAGAACCTACAGCTGCTCCAACTGGGAGAAGGACAGAGGAGGGAGGGGAGGAGTCTGCAGGAGGAGGAGGAGGAGGAGGAGGAGGAGAGGAGGTTACAGGAGGAGGAGGAGGAAGAGTAGTTAAAGCAGGAGGACCTGTAGGAGAAAAGAGTAGAACCTGGTTCAGTTCAGTCATCAGTTTATTATCAGGTCAGCAGGTTAGTTCATATCTTTAAACAGGAAGTGATGTCAGTGTCCTGACCTCTGACCCTCAGCCAGCTCCGAGAAGACTCAACAGTCCGTTCAATAAAACACCAGTAGAGACCTTCATCAGACTGTTGGACCTTACTGATGGTAAACTGTCCTTCAGGTCCAGATCCAATGTGGACTCCATTCTTGAAGAAAAAGGCTTCGAATGTGGAGACACCTCTGGTTCTACAGCGCAGAGTGACATCACTTCCTGTCATCACAGGAAGTGCAGGAAGCTCCAGAATAACCCCTGAAGAAGAAAGAAAAACAGAGTTAGACCATCAGACCAGAGCCATATACAGACAGAGTTAGACCATCAGACCAGAGCCATATACAGACAGAGTTAGACCATCAGACCAGAGCCATATACAGACAGAGTTAGACCATCAGACCAGAGCCATATACAGACAGAGTTAGTGAACAGAAGAACAACTTGCCTCTATCATCAGTTACAGTGATGTTGATCTGGTTGCTCTTCTGTCCAGAACTGGTTCCACACCAGTAAACTCCAGTGTCTGACTGGGAGAGCTTTGAGATGTTGTAACAGGAACCATCAAATCTCCCAAAGTCCTCATTGTGTCCTCCTGCTGTCCTCTTCACCATCCATCCATCAGCTGTCTGTCCATCTCCAACACATTTCAGACAGACTGACTCTTCTCTAAAGAACTGAGGACGGTTGGGACTGACCTCCAGAGAGACTGGAGGACAGACAGACAGACAGAGAGACAGACAGTCAGTTAGACAGATAGACAGAGAGAGAGACAGTCAGTTAGACCGACAGACAGAGAGACGACAGTCAGTTAGACAGATAGACAGAGAGAGACAGTCAGTTAGACCGACAGACAGAGAGAGAGACAGTCAGTTAGACCCAGACAGGAGACAGTCAGTTAGACGCAAACAGACAGACAGACAGTCAGTTAGACAGATAGACAGAGAGAGAGACAGTCAGTTAGACCGACAGACAGAGAGAGAGACAGTCAGTTAGACAGACAAACAGACAGACAGACAGACAGAGAGACAGTCAGTTAGACAGACAGACAGACAGAGAGACAGACAGACAGAGAGACATTATTATTATTATTATTATTATTATTTAATGTCAGTGATTGTTTCACTTCCATCAGCTCACCTGCAGAAACAGTCAGTGCAGACAGCAGCAGCACAGACACACCTGCAACAGGAGGACAGGGTCACTATAGGTCACTGAAGGTCAGAGGTCAGAGGTCAGTGAAGGTCAGTGAAGGTCGGTGAAGGTCAGAGGTCAGTGAAGGTCACTGAAGGTCAGAGGTCAGTGAAGGTCAGAGGTCAGTGAAGGTCACTGAAGGTCAGAGGTCAGTGAAGGTCGGTGAAGGTCAGAGGTCAGTGAAGGTCAGTGAAGGTCAGAGGTCAGTGAAGGTCAGTGAAGGTCAATCATTGGAGTTTTGGGGCAACTATAAAGTCCAGTTGTATGAATATGGGCACTTCAGTGATTGGCTGTCAGCTGATGTGCCCAGGTAGTTGCACACAGTTGCTTTCACATCGCACTACTTCAACTAGATCAGTGGTTCTCAAACTTTTTCGGTCATTCCCCACTTTGGACAAGGGGGAATTTTCAAGCCCCACCTGCCCCCAACGCCCATACACAATGCTAATGAAATACCCAACAAGCTTAAAATGTTCCAATTTATTGAAGTAACAAGTAGTATCAGTATAGTAACAAGTTGTATCTAAATACAAACTAACTATCTACATCAAATAACAGCAAGTTCAAAAATAAAGAAAATAAAAGTGCAGCTGTGTCAAAATTTGTATCAAGTTCAAAAATAGAAAAGAAATAAAAGTGCCACTTTGCAATCTGTTAAAAAAAGAGTTTGTTCTGCTACAATTAATATGCCGACGTCACATCAATCATTATTTTGGCACTTCGGTTCCAGGTTACATTTTACTCGGGGTCTCATATCTAATGTTCTTTTAATTTAGACTGTATGTAGGCTAGTAATGATTACTTTGTTTGTGGGTGTTTTGTTTTGAATGTATGATCTTTGTTGTCATTAAAGAAAGCCATTGATAAAGCAGACATCCCAACCTGCAAAAAGTCATTTCAGGGAGGTTCGTTCCGGGGGGGTGGGGGTGGGGAGGGGAATTCTTGTTACACTTGGTGTCGCCCCCCAGGAGTGATCGGTCTTATAAGCGGCAAAACACAGCTATAAGGACGGTTTGCCGTCACACACGCTGCATTTATAGTCACACAAACACACACACACACACGCAGTCACTCTCTAGTCTAGTGCGCGGTCTTGCTCCAGATTCCGGGAGATTGGATCTCATTTGCGGGCGTCAAGGAGCCGCTATCAATATGAGACTCCCGGAACTTCCGGGACAGTTGAGATGTCTGGATAAAGATATAAAGGCATAAAAAGGAAAATTTCCTCCCGTTTGACACACCCCACCTGTCACGTCTCTATTCCCCACCAGTGGGGCGCGCCCCACACTTTGAGAACCGCGGACCTAGATGATGTGCTTTTAAGGCCATATATTATGGCTAATGTTGTTCACACAGTATTGGTTTATTTACTCTCAGTTAAGTTTTTGGAACTAATTCTTTCTGCCTCTGCTGTTGTTTTGGCTCCAGATTCACAGCAGTAATGGTGTTTTCTATTCCATTCCAGGTTTTATGAGCACCATTAGACCAACAGCCTGTGCTCATACTGAACCTAATGAGGCTTAATGCAGCTGTTCTCCTTTAGTCCCACTTACCTTACTCCAGGACTCCGTAGTCTCTGACTAACTAAACCAAGTTTAAGCCACTGTTGTATATTAGGTAGCGATGATGTGAGATGTGTTGGAGAAGTCCGCTGACACCATCTTGATTGTATATAAGGTTTATTACAAAAGGTACAGCATCATTTCAAGTCCCGGGAGCTTGGAGCATCCAGCCAAATGAACAACTCTGTCTATATGCGTTGAACATAAGCTTTATATAGGTCTATTGTTTATTCAAGAAAATAGTAAAGAAACATCTGGTTCTAATACAGATATGTGAGGTAAAACAGGGAGATGGGGGATTTATTAGCTAAGGTCGAGGCCATTGAGAGGCCCCTAGCCTAACATTTCATAGTAAGAATTACAACGTTGACCTATGTCTTACTAACACTGCATGTGTTGACAAAAATATCACTTGAACTTATAACAAACTGTAACTTAAATTTATAGGCCTTCGGATACCACACCACACTCATGAAAGCTACTTAAATATTGTAGTTTAACTAGTCCACATTCAGGCCTCCTCCTGGCTTAAGCTGAGCCCTGTCAGTGAAACCGGTCCCAAAGATATGAGTGAGTGGAGGGAAGGACCGAGGTATGTTGTTTTCAGAGCTGCAGATGCTCTGACTGAACTAACTGTATATAAAGTAGTTCCACATTGATGCTTCAGTATGAACAATCTAATAATGTCATACAGAATAATCTCTCACACTGCTCATACTTTAAGTACATGTACTTTTACTTTAGTAGAACTTTGAATGCAGGAAGTTTCTGTGTGATAAATATTGATTATTGATTGTTATTATTATTATTATTATTATTATAGTGAAACCTGATCCAGACTGAGACCTGGACTCTCAGTGCTGGTTCCTGTGTATGAGTGCAGAGTGTGCAGTGTGTTGGAGCTGTGATGGATGGATGAGTGTAGAAGCTCTGTGTTGGACTCACCGAGCAGCAGAGACACAGATGAAGCCTTCATGTTGTCTGGATGTGGACTGTCAGTCAGTGTCAGCAGCAGAGTGACGCCTTCAGCTTCACCACTTCCTGATTCACACAGTCAGCGCGTCATTGGCTGCGCTCATTGTCACCCTGCTGCTCATCACTCAACTTAAACGTACAATCTGTCATTCTGCCACTAGGGGGTCTCTCACATCAAAACAGGAAGAAAAGAGGAAGGTAGATGAGGTGGTGAAGCAGCGTGGGATCATGGGAGTTGCTGTCTTCACCACCATTGCGGTCATTGATAGAAAGAGGAAGAAGACAGACGTGATCAGTGAGAAGAGTGCTGTGAGGCTGAGCTGATGTTATTGATGATACTAACAGTAATATTAGTTCATCAGTGAGTGCACTTATTGATCCTATGATCTGACCATGAGAACCAGTTGAACAGCTGAACCACAGCATGAGTGTGAAAGTGTTCTGAGAAAAGAACTCTCTGAACTCACTTCTGCTTTTCATGTCTTCATCTGCTTTGAACCAAACTTCCACATTCTGAGCATCAACACAACAACAGGATTTCTAAGAACTCAACACACACACAGTCAGACAGCCTCCACTAAAGAGCTCCCTGCAAACATCTGTCCGGGTTGGAATAGATAGCAAAAAGAAAACTGACCTGACATCAGCTCAGTCTTCAACTCTTCAAAATGATTTTATTTCAGGTGGCGAGCCCCAGTGAGGAGTAACGGGGCAGGTGGTGGTTGAGGCAGAACAAACTTCCCTCATTTAAACACAAACTCACTCAGTTTCCAAAACCTTACTGACCCATCAACCAGATAGAGCTCCAGATGTAGTTCAAATCAAAGAACAGATAACAGCAGTAATAATGTTGAAATAAAGTATGACTGAAAAAGGCACGACTTAAATGGACACGTACACATTTACAGAGGTTGAAGGTTATAATATGAATAAATTGATGGTCAATCTTTGTGTTTATTGATTGTGTCTTTGAAGAGTCAAATTTAGTGACACAGACAGAAAACTTCCAGTAAAGTTTACATGAGAACATCTTGTGTAAAATTTATTAAGAATTTCTTTTGAACTAAATTTCACTCCACATTTTTTTCAGTGCGCTCACACAAACTTTATCACAGTGGAGATGGACTCAATCAATAATCAATAGTGTTCATAAAGTCTTTTCAGAATAAAGGTTGGCAGAGTTGAGGACGTAAAGAGAAAATAAAGTTGACAACAGTAGAAATGTTCGTTTGAATCAACAACTGAACTCCAGTTGAACTCTTTATTGATGAAGACAAACAAGTGATTGACAATGTTTCTGATCAATACGGCACAGATAACAGCATATCAGGACTGAAGCACAGGTAAATGTGGTAAGGCACAGGATGCACTCAGTGGTCACTTCATTAGGTACACCTGTACAATCTAATGCAGTGCAGTCCAACAGCTCTGCCATAAATGATACCTTTATGAAGTTTATAATGTTCACTTGTTGTGGTCAGAAATATGAACATTTGGACGTTCAGGTACAGAGACTGCAGAGGAGCAGCACCTCAATGGATGTCTGTCTGACTATAGTGAGAGACCACAATCCCCCACTGAAGGAACCCACAACGGTGACACAGAGAATTGCACACAGCACAAACACATTTATTATAAATAATAAAGAAATAACCACATCCGCAGTACATTCCACACATTCTGCAACTACTGGACGATCAATACAACACAAAAACAGACAACATCCCCTGGACGGATGACACCGCGGTTAAAATGTTGAACCACAGGCTTCAACATTTAAACTAAATATCCCCACAAGCCCCAACGCCCTAACCCTAACCCTGGAGGAAAACATGCCTGAAACACAATATTTTTCATTTTGTGAAGGGGCCCAAATGGTCCATTGTTTTTACAGTTTAATTTTCATTATTGCTAAAAAGTGATTGTGGTTGTAATGTATTGTTGACATTCAAACTGAGCTTCTGCTTTTCTCTTCCTCCCTTATTCCTACTAATCCTGTATTTACTGTATGTGTTTTTTTTTTTTTGTGAGTGTGTGTGTGTGTGTGTGTGTGTGTGTGTATGCTGCTGTGGCTGGTTTCATTTCATCCCTGAGGTTGAACTTAATGAGGTTCTTTTCCACTGTATAATCTGCTAATATTCTGTATCAGACTGTAGGAAATTCACATCCTGATATTAACAACTCATCTCACTTGTACTTGTGCTGTGATGTGAATCTCCACAGTCTAACTTCTACACACACTGATATATTTCATACATGTTGCTGTAAATGAAGCCTGTTTGTTGAATTTCTTCTGTGGATTTCCAGAGTTTTCAGTCTGACTGAGGAAGTGTTGCACATTTCCAGCCGAGGTGTGTTTTTGTCCTTCAGTGAGCTGCAGACGCAGGAAAATGAGTGTGTGGCTGCTGTGAGACGTCAAACAGCAGCAACAACCCGCACACAGCAGAGAACATGGAAGGATGTCTGATATGGGACCAGCATCCCTTTCAGTTCATCCATTATGACAACCTCAGTCAGGAGCTTTTATTACTCTTTACATATTGAAAGAAATAATCATTGACTTTAATTTCCACTGCGGTGAACAGTTTGTGTTACAGCAGTTTTCTACTGTAAATTAAAAACCAATCAATACAATTATATTTTATGTAAATAGATATAAAGTTGTTACTCACACAGTCTGTACTAATACACATATTCTAATAACATGTAGTATGTTGTAGTAGTATTTTCAATCAGTTGCAGTAAGAGTATGAATTATAGTTCATATAAGGATGCACAATGTCCAATTTAGTGGACAGATGATTCATTTTCTCCCAACATAGAATCAATACTAAAATACTAAAATAATAACTCTACTACTCTTCAGTTGTTACTTGATGTTACCAGTTTTATTAGTCTGCAACCTATTAACCTCCAACTGTAGAAGGACTGGAGACATATCAGGCTGCCCAAATAAAGACCAAGTTCAAAGATTCAGCTGATCAGAGGGTCGGGGTAAAACAGCAAAGGTCACCTTTAGTTCTGCAGTTAGAGCGGGGAACGGATTAAAGGCCAAGATAAGAGGAGCAGAGCGGTCGAGGAGTGGAATAAGGAACGAGGAGATGTGAGATGTAACTGGGGGTCATGAAGTGCCTTAAATGTAATCAGTAAGATCTTATAGTGGATTCTGAATTTTACAGGAGTAATGTGGGACCGACGGCTGGTTCTGGTTTAAAGTCTGGTAGCTGCATTTTGTACTAAATGTAAATGATTTAAGGAAGCTTGACCGAGGCACGTGTAGAGAGAGTTACAGTAATCTAGAGGAGAGAAAATGAAGCTGTGAATTTGAGCTCTCTGGAGGACAACAAGCTTCTGATTCTAGTAAGATTTCATAGCTGCAAACACCATGGTGGTCAAAAGTCATAATTGTGTCTAACGGTCCAATAAACTGACCAACTGCAGTGATAAACTGTCCGAGGATTTCAGTTTTGTCAGGATTTAGGTGGAGAAAACTGAGAGACATCCAATATCTGGTGGCAGCTAAGCACTCATGGAGGGAGGACAGTTGGTTCAGGTTATTGGGTTCAGCAGCGAAATATATCAGTGTATCATCGGCATAACAGTGGTATGACTGAACAAATGACGCAGAGGAAGCATGTACAGGGAGAACAGAACTGGACCAAGAACCGACCCCTGAGGGACACCACACAGCAGGGGAGCGTAGGAGGAAACATGATTATCAATGCAGACATTAAAGACTCTATTAGTCCAATAGGAATGAAACCAGCTGTACCAGAAATGCCAACCCAGTTCTGTAATCTATCCAGTAAAATGGTGTGATTGATGGATCAAAGGCTGCAGTCATATGGGGAAGAATAAGGATGGAGCTTCCACCTTTGTCAGCATCAATAAGACATTAGACCCTCTCAGTAATCTCTCAGTAATGCTGTCTCTGAGCTGTGCTTTAGAGTTAGATGCACAGCAGCAGGAAGCAGTCTGCTCCAGTTCACAGTTGGTGTGAGGAAGTTTTAAAATATCTGCTCTCTTTAGTTTACATGAGCTGATAAATGACTACACAGGTATGCTGATGTCTCTTAGATTGCAATGACCATCTAACTGTGGGCGGCTGTGCTGCAGAGGAAGAGGGGGTCGTCCCCTAATCGGAAGGTTGTTGGTTCGATGCTGTGAATGTGTGAATGTGTGTGAAAGGGTGAATGTGGCTCTAGTGTAAAAGCGCTTTGAGTGGTCAAAAGACCAGAAAGGTGCTATACAAGTACAGGTCCATTTACCATTTACCACATTGTTGGACCTCCGCTGGAGTCCAGTACCCACAGCTGATTCAGTATGAACATATAGGACCTTTAACATCAGATATATATAAATACAAATATTAAATAGATTCCTCTCATGTAAGAACACAACTCAGCTCCATATACAACATAGCTCTAGAGTTTATACACTGTTTAAAATTAAATCCTCAACTTCTCTCAGAAATTCTGATATTTACCTTTTTGAAGATATGAGATATTAAAAATGACGTTTTTATTTTACACTGACTGGTGTCACTTTTACTTTTTGTAGAATCACTAACTAACTCATCACTTTTACATTTACAATTTTATTTACTGCTAAATTTGGTCAGATTTGAATTTAAAACTGTCCAATAAGCATATTTTAGATGTGAAAACACAATAATTGATTCAGTTTTAAAAACAAAGGGTTTATATTCCATTATATTATTATAATTCTGTCACAGTTCTGATTCAGAGACATAAATGCATCAGGAATCCAGAGTGCAGTGAGGTGTTTTGTCCACCAGGTGGGGATAAATACATGATGTGTTTGGCTTTTGAAATTCACTTTGGATCTTCTTCTTCTTTACATGCTAAAGTTGAACAAAGTCGAAGCATAATAAAAGTCTGAAAGTGATGTTTTGCAGGTGATACATTCCACGTGTACTAAACATGTTTAATGTTGAGTTTAAGGTTTGTTAATGTCACTGTTAAATGTATTGTAGCGCCCCTAGTCTGACTAGAAGAACACACTATAGAGACCTACATTCTTACTAGGTTCGGTGAGTTGGACCTCTACATTATTCAAATGAGGGAGCGTGAAGTTGAAACGTTGAGAATTTATTGCCTCACACAGTAACTACTTGGCAGTATATGGAAAATAAAAAATACAAACAAATAGAGCTCTTTCATAGAAAAGTAAAATAAAATAGAAAAGTTCAAATAAAAGTGTCCCTTCTTCTTATAAGAAGTTAAGAATTCAGTCCGTTCTATTGACTGCTACTACCCGGGTAGATTTCTGTGTTATTATCTGTATTACAGAGTGAAATGAGATGATGTCTGGGGTCTTCAGAATGGATACCACGGCTGGCCACACCGTGCACCGTTCCCTCCAAGTTGCTCTTCTTTCCCGGCTCGCCACCGAACCTCCACTGGTTCGGATCCGGATCGAGTCCTAATCCGGCAAATCCAAAAACACCAATCTACACATAGAGTGCAGAAAACATAACCATTACACTCAATCACATCATTCTACTTTCACTTTTCACTCTAAATATCTTCCATATCTATACCCAGATGCAGGATATACAGCATTCAAGTCATTGTAAATGAGTCTGTATACATTTACAGTACTGTAGAAGTATTTTTACCATCAACTTATATTTGAACATAAATGCCCTTCTTTATATTTTTAAACAGCTCTTTTAATCACTATTTCTCTTTTGAACTCTTTTTATCCCTAAATGAACAGTATTAAATTTCTCCTTTTTAACCAACTTGAATATTGATACAACTACATTGCAATATAACACCTTATATACATCTCAGTTATCAGAAAACAATGATCACAACCTGCCATCATATCAGCACCAATATGCATCATAAGCCTTCTCTATTTCTCTCATTTAACGGCTGTAGCGACAGTTAGCTCCCCCAGCTACACCGTTAGCACATTACATATTACAGTTAATACCTGAGCTAGTGATCTTTTTAAAGTCAGTTTACACTGTTCACAATGATACAAACAGTACCAAGGTGAGTTCAAACATTAGGAAACATTCCTGTAGCTCCGATTGGTTTAATAAAAGTACCTCAATGAAAGGCAGCTAATAACGGACGAGGCCTCTTAGCATGTAGCAACCAGGCTAACCGGAGTTTCTCTCAGAGGCTCACTCAGTGAGGCTCCTCTTATCCACATAATGTACAATTCTTGTTACAGTATGTTATGTGTTATACATTTCCATTACACATACATACATCCCCCTGGCTCCAACAACAACAGGAGCGAGGCACTGTATGAACTCCATCAGCACATCAGTGACCAGCAGACAGCCAACCCAGATGCCTTCGTCATCCTGGCTGGGGATTTCAACCACGCAAACCCCAAGAGCGTGTTTCCACAACCCCATGGACACATCAACCTTCTCACACGAGGAAACAATATCCTGGACAATGTCTACACCACACACAGAGGTGCCTACAAAGCCCGTCCCCTCCCTCACCTCGGGGCCTCAGACCACACCACTGTTATGCTAATGTCAGCATACAGGCCGCTGGTTAAAGTCGCCAAACCAACTACAAAGCAGATACGCATGTGGCCTGAGGGGTCTTCAGAGGCACTCCACCACCGACTGGAGCATGTTCAGATAGGCAGCCACCTACAACAACATCACAGACCTCCAGGAGTACACGGAGACCGTCACTTCCTACATGAGGAAGTGTATGGACGATGTCACAGTCACCAGAACCATCTCCATTCGGGCCAACCAGAAGCCACGGCTGACAGGGGAAGTCCACAGGCTCCTGAGGGCTTGGAACGCCGCCTTCAAAGCTGGCGACGAGGTGGGCCTGAGGACAGCCAGGGCCAACCTGTCACGAGGCATCAGAAAGGCCAAGAGGCAGTACTCCAGGAGGATCGCCGACCGCTTCAACGACAGCAGAGACACCAGGAACCTGTGGCGAGGGCTGCAGACCATCACGGACTATAAGGCCTCTCCGCAGACCTGTGACAGCTCCACCTCTCTGCTGAACCACCTGAACGACTTCTTCGCTCGTTTTGAGGAAGACAACAGCACCCCAGGGTCCTGACAACATTCCTGGTCGTGTCCTGAGAGACTGCGCCGAGGAGCTCACAGATGTCTTCACCGACATGTTCAACACCTCGCTGAGCCAGGCTGTTGTCCCCACGTGCCTCAAAGCCACCACCATCATCCCGGTCCCGAAGAAGTCGTCTCCCTCCTGCCACAATGACTACCGCCCGGTCGCACTCACTCCCATCCTCATGAAGAGCTTCGAGCGGCTAGTCATGCAGCACATCAAGTCTGTCCCCCCCCCAGAATGCTGTTCATCGACTTCAGCTCAGCATTCAACACAATCATCCCCCAGCAGCTCATCCGCAAACTGGACCAGCTGGGGCTCAACACCTCCCTGTGCAACTGGCTGTTGGACTTCCTGATGGGGAGACCACAGGCAGTTTGGTCGGCAGCAACACCTCCAGCACCATCACACTAAACACAGGGGCCCCCCAAGGATGTGTGCTGAGCCCCCTCCTCTTCACTCTGCTGACCCATGACTGCACACCATCATTCAGCTCCAACCTCTTCATTAAGTTTGCGGACGACACAACTGTGGTGGGTCCCATCAACAACGGCGATGAGACAACCTACAGGAGTGAGGTGAGCAGGCTGGCTACGTGGTGCAAGGACAACAGAGAGAGGGATCTATGCACTTCTTGTCAAACTCTAAAGTGACAGGTACCACGCCCCCTGCCCTTATGCCCGGTCAAAAAGGTCAAATCGATCAATCAAAATCTGACACTTCAATCTGACACTTCAAGGGTAAACATTTTGCCCCCCCCCTTCCAGATGGTAACCATTTTAAGATAAAACAATCAATAGATTGTACACAGTTAATTGGCCCACCCCCTCCCGACCCTATGGTGGGGAACCTTTAAAACTCAAGTGTGAACAAAAGACAAATATTATCAGCAAAGAGTCAGCAAAGAGTTCACCATCAATCCACAATGCTACAAGAAAAGTTTTACGCTTGTGAAAAGAGAATATACCAGAAGATGAGATGTCTGTGATTTGCGAGACACCAGTCACCATCTACCGGCAAGTGAGAGGGCCTCCTCCCGCACCGAGGAAAAGTATCGTGTATGTACAGCGTACACAGGCTCCTCCAAAGGAATCTCTGGGAGAGCAATGGTCTTTACTGCAGCATGGATCGTCTGGATGTTGGGGGTATGTGTTCAAGTATGAAAAGGGGCGAGCTCTGGTTGTACCAGCTGGGTGATGATGAAAAATTGAATTTGATGAAAAATGTGGTGACTCTTACCTCCAACGACTGGGCCGTGTTGAGGCTAGTGATGTCTGAACGGCTCTCGGATGAGAAACAAGTGAGAACAGATCCTTCCACCGATGTACCAGAGTCTGGTGTCGTTTCTAGGGTAGTCCTGCCCTTATGCCTGGTCAAAAAGGTCAAATCGATCAATCAAAATCTGACACTTCAAGGGTTGTTTTTAAGGGGTCTAATAGATAGAGATGCCCCCCCTTCCAGATGGTAAACTTTTTAAGATAAAGTCAATAGATTATGCATAGTTGATAATTATTTTAAAACTTTAAAAATACTTTGTTCTTACATGGTACGATGATAAGTGACAGGGGGTAATAAAGTACTATAAAGTAATGAAACGTGTCTTAGATGGATACTTTCAGGACTCTGCCAATCTCTGAAGTGAGGCTTTGTTAAGAGTTCTAATAGTTAATATTACAGAGGTCGTCATCTACCGCATACCTCCAGATGGTAAACGTTTTAACACAACAGCCTCAATAGTCTGTATACGGTTGCAACTGTTATAAGTACCCCCTGCTTAAAGAGAGTTTATCTGTTGCGGACCACACCAGACTGACGACATGTCTTGCGGTAAAAAACGTTTTCTCCGTTGAATTTTCATTGTAATATTTAACCATTGCTTAATATTTTAAATACAACTTGTGTATTTTTGAAGATAACTTTAACCAGGAGGATCTCCGATATGCACCTTGTACTGGTAAGTAAGCTCTATTTGTTTTATTATATTAAACTTTTAACATATTTTTTAATTTTTTATTTTATTAACTTGTTTCTCTTAACTGACTTGTCTTTTTTAAATAGTAGCAGATACTGGTTACGTACCCACACAGACTGTGTTAGGTACATTTTGTTTTATTTAAATGTAATTTTTTAATTCTATTTAAAAAACCCTCTAATGTGAACGGTGAAAATCTACTTACAGCTTTGGGTGACGGCCTGGAGGACAGTTGGGATGGAAATGCCTTAGAATCCACTCAAGAAGCCGAAAATCAAGCCTTGCAGACCCCCAATCGGATCCAGGTACCCACAACCCCAACACTGGTTGAAGAAGACCTGAGGAGCGGTGTTGAATCTCTGCCAACGCGGTCGAAAACACCCCAGAAAAGACAACATCCTTGTGTGTTTCACGGGGAAATTGGTGGTATTTGTGAAGAGGATACCCCAGCAGCATCCCCGTCCACACCGGTACAGAAAAAGAGGAGAGACACCCTCAGCCCCGGTAGTGTGGATCAGGCCCCTACAGCTGTGGTGAATCCTTCGCTAGAGGCCCCGCTGCAGAGGTGCGAGAGGCCGCAAAACCAGCAGCGGACCCCGGATCCTGAAGCCGACGGATCACCAGACGTGCAGGGTGAGAACTTTTACTATTTGAAGCCTTTTTGTGTGTTTTTTGAGTCATCTAAGGGGTGGTTGTTGAGCCTTGCCGCTCCAGCGTTATAATGAATCAATCATTACGTTACCGTGTCTGTAGCGTCATCCGCCGTGATGACATCTTGTATTCTTATAGGTTGCATACACACGCATGCGTAGAAACAGGTTAACAAAACATGTTTGTTATGAAATACCCCAACAGGCCACAGAACTGTTACAACAGGGCTGAGGTCCATGCAGTACCTAGCCCCAGATACATGTTAACAACCCCAGGATCTCAGGCTCTTCCAGGCCGGTCTGTGTCACCTGCACCCCGCACACCTCTCGTGGTTCCAGAGACACCGTCGCCCCCTAGGGTCCGAGGAAGATCACAACCTCAAAGTGGTAAAGCAGCCAGAAGACTATTTGAAGGTGCGTTTGAAAATAAATAAAATGTGTATATATATATAGACTACATTGGTCTGCATAAAGTTTTAAGAGTTAAAGTTTCCTTATAATCTTTTGTTTTTACAGAAACTGCTGTAGGAGGAGTCCAACTGGGAAGTGGGCCAACAACATCCTCTGACAATCAGCACATGAATGCCATAGTGTTGCTCTGTCAAGTCATGCAGACTTTTATTTCCTCAGTCGTTACCGTATGTGAAAAAATGTAAAGGCAAGGTATTATTTTAATTGAGAAAATAAATAAAATAAAAATGAACGAAGAATTGGCTTTGACAATCGCTCATATAAATCAAATTCCTGTCGAAAATGATCCTTTTGAGGACTTGAACAATGCTCTCAGGGCTTTAAACTACTTTCCTGCAGAAACTGATGTTTCTGTAGACCAATCTGGACAACAATGTTATGACCCCATTGAAACCATTGACAATGCACTCCTGCTTTTAAACCAAAATCTGTCGCCATCTTTTTCTAATCAAAATGAGTACACCCAGGATGAGCCACTTGCAGATTCAGACTTACAGATTCCACCTGCTCTGCAACAGGGTGGGGGTCTGAATGAGGCGGGTCCTTCTGTTGAAGAGAGGGGTGTGTCTAGAGAGGATGGGGGAATGGGAGATACATCTCACTTTAACACTTATAGATTTAGACGTATCTTCACGGTGCCCCCTCAGGCAAACGTACCCGATATAGCAGCATTTTATAGAGATGTGATAGGGGTAATTAGAGAACTGTCTGATGATGCTTTACAGTTGGCTAGCCGTAATGATGTGATACAGTTGGAGGTGGTGGGTGAAAATGTACAACAACATGTCTCAGTAGTTGTAGATGATGATGGTGATAATGTTCTGCCAGTTTTTGAAGGGGTGCTTGACCGGTTAGTGCAATCTAACAATAACATTGTTCATGATGAGAATCTTGAATTAATCGTGCAGGTTGTACAGAACCCATCAGGGGGTGCTAAACGTAAACTGGAGAAAACTTTAGATTGTGAAATAGTTGACAAGAAAAGACGACACCTGTATGTTGTAGACAACAGGGCTGATCGTCTCTCCTATGCCATTAGCCTAGCTCACACTCTCGAACCCGCTTTTACAGACAGCCAGTGTGTGAAAATGGGTAGGTATTTGCAGCATCAGGTTGGTTTGGATGATCAGACACACGTTACTTTTAGTGATGTGGGTAAATTTGAAGAGATTCTGGGGCGCAAAATTGTGGTGTTTTACAGAACAACCCACGGTAAGCC